TGAATGTATCTGTGATAGAAAATAGAGTATATGTTAAATTATCAATATGACAATTCTCGATTATTAATGAATCAGCACCATTCCAAATCAATGATCCATTTCCAAAATTTCCAAAAATTGAACAATTAGAAATAGTCATTATTCCAAAACAACCAATGATACCAAGAGATGAGCTTGTACTTGATTGTGAATTATTTAGAATATTACTATTAATGAGATAATATGTTGGTGAATCAATACTATAATGCATAAGAACCCAATAATCGCAATGATTTTGACAAATTGAACAAAAATTGACTTTTCCAATTGAATTATGAGGTGATATTCCATATGCAGCGCAAGCTTCTGACATTGTTATTACTTATATTTGAATAACTAATATTAATAATACCATAACTACATGAAATAGTATCATCTCCTTCTTCTCTTTTTCCACATGATGAAACACAACTTTCAAGAAAATAATTAAAATTTCCATCGGATAAAGATGAATATGAATGTTGTCCTATACTTGATGTTTGTGAATATAATGAACAACATCGATGTTGAATAACTGAATTTTGACCGTACACGCAAACAGAACCACCAGAGTAACTCCTTTTGCAGTCATTGAATGAACATTCGGAATGTAATAATTTGATATCATCCGTTGTGAATGAAATAGCACCTTCTTCAAGATCATGAAAAAAACTAAGTAAAACAAAACATTCGAATTAGAAACTGAAACTGGACAATTAACACATGTTTCGGATTTGTTTTGTTATTTTCGCCATATAATTCATACCAGATGTTTTTTGGAATATTTTCAAAATGATGATAGTGATAATCTCTCCGAAGAGAGAAAATCACTGAAACGTGACATTAAAAAATTCCAACACTTTTTATTAATTTTTTTCTTTGATTCATATTTTCTTCCGAATTAGAAGGAATATATTGATGAATCAGTATATCAAAACAACTAATTGCATTAAATTGGCAATGTTCATGACAGAAATTCGACAAGTATTAACGAGTTTCTAAAGATTACCTAGTAAAAACACTTAATACAATTTTTTATCAACATATTTTATTAATTTGTTATTACATACATCGAAAATATATAAGTATAGAATTATATCAGAAAACAGTATTTTTAATTGCAAATGAAATAAACCTTTCAAAAACTGTATTATTTGATCTAATAATAATATAAAATCAATTTGTATTTGTTTTATGATATTGATATTTCTACATTAAACAAATTATGAAGATCACATAGATTATATATACAAAACTATTCTTGTTAATTAATCATTTCAAAAAAAAATTAAACAAGAAATTGTGAACTCGCATACAGAAGATATTTATTCAAATTGCATCAAGATTTATATTTATGAAATTCGAAAACTAAAAGAAGATTTAAAAGTTTCAAAAACAGAGTGTGAAAGTCAGAAGAAAGCATCAGTCAAAATATCAGAAGAATTAATTAAGATCAAACATGAAAACGAACGATATAAGAAAACAAATATCGAACTTACAAAAAATCTTGATCATCTTAAGAATATTCAAGAAGACATTTTTGAAAAATCAAAACTTGAAATGAAACGAATGAATAACGAATTAACATCAAGTCAGAAAGAAGTCGAAAATCTTAAACGAAAGATATCAGAACTCAACGAAACGAATCGAGAATTAATTTCATCACGTGAATATTACACAATCAAACTCACAGAGTCGGAATCAGAATGTATTTCACTTCGAAAACAGTTAACAGAATCGAATACAAAACTCTCATCATTAAATTCAGAACTTTTTTCACTTAAATCAGAATACAACGAAATGAAAGAAAGTTCAGACAAACTTTATTCTATCAATCAAAAATTACAATCACAAGTTTCTTTCAACGAACATCGATATGCCGAACAAAGTTCATTCATCGAAGATCTTAAATATCGTGTTATTTCACTTGAAGAATCAATCAACAGATCTAAACAACTTGAATCTATTGTTTGTGAACGCGATTCAACAATTTCAACATTACGTGATCAACTATCGAAAAGCGAAAATAAATGTCAATCTATCACAGATGCATTACAACATGCACAAGAACAATTAGAAACATCACGTGTATATGACAAAGAAATTGAAACACTTCGTTCACAACATAATTCATTATTGAAACGAGCCGAAGAAGCAGAACAATGTTTGAGACGATATGAAGAAGAACTTCAATATAAGAAAGAAGAATATACACAATCTATGATTAAACAAAGTTCCACTATTGAAGAATTACAAAATCAACTTATTTCAAGTCATCGCGATTTTGATCTTGCTATTGAACGTCAAAAGAAGTCAGCATCAGAAGCAGAAGAAGCACGAATATTTGCCGAAGACCTTGAACGATCATTCAATAATTTACAACGCACAGTTCTTCGAATTCAAGACAAAATTTCTTCACACAATTCACCAAATCCATCCATCCAAAAGAGTTTCATTCCCTGGAACATCACTATCATTATCAACATATTCTGATTCTGATTCCAATCCTCAAGAAAATTAATTATTAATTTATTATTTATTTGTTTGTTATGATAATTATTATGTAAAATGTTTCATAATATTTAAGTAATGTTTGCAAAACTATAGCTACTTTTGCTTCAATGTTAACTGTGTGTATGATGACCGATATTAGTATTTGTGGAATATTTTTGACTTCATTAGATAATGTTGTGATTTCGGAATAAATTTTGTCGTTCATCTTATAATTCATGGACCATACATGTTTTTAATGGTGGAGAATAGAGGATAGACTATACTCAGAAAAATTAATCTTAACAAAATTAGAAAAATCAAATATTTCTGAATTTCATTCTTATTTTATTGATAGCAAAGGTTCAAAGAAGGGAATTGAAATATGAATAATATACTTTCCTTCTTTATATTTGACTTGTTGTTTGATAACTGTTTCTCGATGTCGAGGATTGAAAGGAATTAAACAATTGTGAGTTGAAAAATATGAAAATAAATGATAAGATGTAATAGAATCAATATTGAATGTATCTATGTGAGGTTCAATGTCATATGTTAAATTATCAATATGACAATTCTCGATTATTAATGGATTAGCATTATTATAAATCAATGGTCCATTTCCAAAATTTCCAAAAATTGAACAATTAGAAATAGTCATTTTTTCTGTACAACAAATGATACCGTCACTTGTACTTGATTGTGAATTATTTAGAATATTACTATTAATGAGATAATGTGTTGGAGAATCAATACTATAATGCATAAGAACCTGATAATCGCAATGATTTTGACAAATTGAACAAAAATTGACTTTTCCAATTGAATTAAATGTGCTATTCCATATGCAGCTCCATAACCTTCGACATTGTTATTACTAATATTTGAATAACTAATATTAATAATACCAGTACAATAAATAGTTCTAATCCTTCTTTTTTTTCCCACATGATGAAACACAACTTTCAAGAAAATAATTAAAATTTCCATAGGATAAAATGAATATGAATGTTGTCCTCTATTTGATGCTTGTGAATATAATGAACAACATCGATGTTGAATAACTGAATTATGACCGTCACGCAAACAGAACCTCCACACTCCTTTTGCAGTCATTGAATGAACATTCGGAATGTAATAATTTGATATCATCCGTTGTAATGAAATAGCACCTTCTTCAAGATCATGAAAAAAACTAAGTAAAACAAAACACTCGGAATTAGAAACAGAAATCGAACAATTAACACAGTTTTTAGGATTGTTTTGTTATTTTCACCATATAATTCATACCAGATGTTTTTTGGAATATTTTCAAAATGATGAAATTGATAATCTCTCCGAAGAGAGAAAATCACTGAAACGTGACATTAAAAATTCCAACACTTTTTATTAATTTTTTTTTCTTTGATTCATATTTTCTTCCGAATTAGAAGGAATATATTGATGAATCAGTATATCAAAACAACTAATTGCATTAAATTGGCAATGTTCATGACAGAGATTCGACAAGTATTAACGAGTTTCTAAAGATTGTCTAGTAATACAATGTTTTTGATCAACATATTTAATTAATTTGTTTTACATACATGGAAAATATATAAGTATAACGAATTTATATCAGAAAACAGTATTTTTAATTGCAAAATGAAATAAACCTTTCAAAAACTGTATTATTTGATCTAATAATAATATAAAATCAATTTGTTTGTATTTGTTTATGATATTGATATTCTACATTAAACAAATTATGAGATCACATAGATTATATATACAAAACTATTCTTGTTAATTAATCATTTCAATAATGAAAATGAAACAAGAAATTGTGAACTCACATACAGAAGATATTTATTCAAATTGCATCAAGAGTTATATTTATGAAATTCGAAAACTAAAAGAAAAGATTAAAAAGTTTCAAAAAAACAGAGTGTGAAAGTCAGAAGAAAGCATCAGTCAAAATATCAGAAGAATTAATTAAGATCAACATGAAAACGAACGATATAAGAAAACAAATATCGAACTTACAAAAAATCTTGATCATCTTAAGAATATTCAAGAAGACATTTTTGAAAAATCAAAACTTGAAATGAAACGAATGAATAACGAATTAACATCAAGTCAGAAAGAAGTCGAAAATCTTAAACGAAAGATATCAGAACTCAACGAAAGAATCGAGAATTAATTTCATCACGTGAATATTACACAATCAAACTCACAGAGTCGGAATCAGAATGTATTTCACTTCGAAAACAGTTAACAGAATCGAATACAAAACTCTCATCATTAAATTCAGAACTTTTTTCACTCAAATCAGAATACAACGAAATGAAAGAAAGTTCAGACAAACTTTATTCTATCAATCAAAAATTACAATCACAAGTTTCTTTCAACGAACATCGATATGCCGAACAAAGTTCATTCATCGAAGATCTTAAATATCGTGTTATTTCACTTGAAGAATCAATCAACAGATCTAAAACAACTTGAATCTATTGTTTGTGAACGCGATTCAACAATTTCAACATTACGTGATCAACTATCGAAAAGCGAAAATAAAATGTCAATCTATCACAGATGCATTACAACATGCACAAGAACAATTAGAAACATCACGTGTATATGACAAAGAAATTGAAACACTTCGTTCACAACATAATTCATTATTGAAACGAGCCGAAGAAGCAGAACAATGTTTGAGACGATATGAAGAAGAACTTCAATATAAGAAAGAAGAATATACACAATCTATGATTAAACAAAGTTCCACTATTGAAGAATTACAAAATCAACTTATTTCAAGTCATCGCGATTTTGATCTTGCTATTGAACGTCAAAAGAAGTCAGCATCAGAAGCAGAAGAAGCACGAATATTTGCCGAAGACCTTGAACGATCATTCAATAATTTACAACGCACAGTTCTTCGAATTCAAGACAAAATTTCTTCACACAATTCACCAAATCCATCCATCCAAAAGAGTTTCATTCCCTGGAACATCACTATCATTATCAACATATTCTGATTCTGATTCCAATCCTCAACAAAATTAATTATTAATTTATTATTTTGTTATTTGTTTGTTTTGATAATTATTATGTTAAACTGTTTCGCAATATTTAAGTAATGTTTGCAAAACTATAGCTACTTTTGCTTCAATGTTAACTGTGTGTATGATGACCGATATTAGTATTTGTGGAATATTTTTGACTTCATTAGATAATGTTGTGATTTCGGAATAAATTTTGTCGTTCATCTTATAATTCATGGACCATACATGTTTTTAATGGTGGAGAATAGAGGATAGACTATACTCAGAAAAATTAATCTTAACAAAATTAGAAAAATCAAATATTTCTGAATTTCATTCTTATTTTATTGATAGCAAAGGTTCAAAGAAGGGAATTGAAATATGAATAATATACTTTCCTTCTTTATATTTGACTTGTTGTTTGATAACTGTTTCTCGATGTCGAGGATTGAAAGAAATTAAACAATTATTAGTTGAAAAATATGAAAATAAATGATAAGATGTAATGGAATCAATATTGAATGTATCTGTGATAGAAAATAGAGTATATGTTAAATTATCAATATGACAATTCTCGATTATTAATGAATCAGCACCATTCCAAATCAATGATCCATTTCCAAAATTTCCAAAAATTGAACAATTAGAAATAGTCATTATTCCAAAACAACCAATGATACCAAGAGATGAGCTTGTACTTGATTGTGAATTATTTAGAATATTACTATTAATGAGATAATATGTTGGTGAATCAATACTATAATGCATAAGAACCCAATAATCGCAATGATTTTGACAAATTGAACAAAAATTGACTTTTCCAATTGAATTATGAGGTGATATTCCATATGCAGCGCAAGCTTCTCTGACATTGTTATTACTTATATTTGAATAACTAATATTAATAATACCATAACTACATGAAATAGTATCATCTCCTTCTTCTCTTTTTCCACATGATGAAACACAACTTTCAAGAAAATAATTAAAATTTCCATCGGATAAAGATGAATATGAATGTTGTCCTATACTTGATGTTTGTGAATATAATGAACAACATCGATGTTGAATAACTGAATTTTGACCGTACACGCAAACAGAACCACCAGAGTAACTCCTTTTGCAGTCATTGAATGAACATTCGGAATGTAATAATTTGATATCATCCGTTGTGAATGAAATAGCACCTTCTTCAAGATCATGAAAAAAACTAAGTAAAACAAAACATTCGGAATTAGAAACTGAAACTGGACAATTAACACATGTTTCTGGATTTGTTTTGTTATTTTCGCCATATAATTCATACCAGATGTTTTTTGGAATATTTTCAAAATGATGATAGTGATAATCTCTCCGAAGAGAGAAAATCACTGAAACGTGACATTAAAAAAATTCCAACACTTTTTATTAATTTTTTTTTCTTTGATTCATATTTTCTTCCGAATTAGAAGGAATATATTGATGAATCAGTATATCAAAACAACTAATTGCATTAAATTGGCAATGTTCATGACAGAGATTCGACAAGTATTAACGAGTTTCTAAAGATTACCTAGTAAAAACACTTAATACAATGTTTTTTATCAACATATTTTATTAATTTGTTATTACATACATGGAAAATATATAAGTATAACGAATTTATATCAGAAAACAGTATTTTTAATTGCAAAATGAAATAAACCTTTCAAATACTGTATTATTTGATCTAATAATAATATAAAATCAATTTGTTTGTATTTGTTTTATGATATTGATATTTTACATTAAACAAATTATGAAGATCACATAGATTATATATACAAAACTATTCTTGTTAATTAATCATTTCAATAATGAAAATGAAACAAGAAACTGGGAACTCACATACAGAAGATATTTATTCAAATTGCATCAAGAGTTATATTTATGAAATTCGAAAACTAAAAGAAGAGTAGTAGGATATGATGGGTTTTGTGACTTTTTTTGTAAACGTAAGAATTCATACAATATCGAGCGATTTTGTATCATTTTTTTTAACATATGAAGTAAAAAATGTATGATTCTTACGGTTTTTATTCTTACGTTTTTGAATAAATCAAGATTTAAAAAATTTTCAAAATTGTAAGACATTTACACTCAGCCCATACATAATGAAATAAAAAATAATTTTTTAAAAAAATAAACTTTAAAAATTCATGTCTTACGAAAAATTAAAACTTAGTTATGTTTATTATTTTATTTTTTATTTTGTATGAAATGAGCGTCAAAACTAACGACGTTAAAAAATTAGGATTCACAAACGAGGAAATAAAGGATATATTAGAGGAGGTGGGTTATGAAGTTGATAAATATTATTTAAGAAATTGTCAAAAATTTGCCGAGTTATTAAATGATTTAGATTATGATGGAAAAATGAATAAAGATGATGTTATAAATTTCTTATATCCCACATCTGAAGAAGAAAAACCTAAAGAACCTGATGTTTTCCCCGAATATTATGAAGAACGAATTAAAGATGATGAATACGATGAAATTGAAAGACTGAAAAAAATAAGAGATGAAATAGATGAAAAAATTAAGGAATTAAGAGAAGTTGAAAAATATAATGAAAATGAAGTAGAGGGTTTAATGAATATCCCAGCTTCAGAATCAGAAGTTCAGAAATCTCATGAAGAAAGATATAAAAATTATGTCTCAGAATCAACACAAAATTTATTAGATGGTGAAATAGACGAAACACTTTCAGAAGAAGGTACTAAATTTATTCGTAAACATAAGTTACAATTTATTGATAATGAAGAATACTCCTGTATCCTACTTTCACCACCTTTAGATTCCAAAAAATTCAAAAAAGCTCTTAAAAACGTGACATATGCAACTAATACGATTAAGAAAGAAGATCATGATATTTACACAAATTATTATTTAAATAAATGCACAGGTGTTGATAAAGTTTTTGATTTATTAGATAAAATATCAAAAGAAACCATTGGAACCTATAAAATTTTGTGTGATTGTGGTTTCATTATTGAAGATACCAATAATGTTTCATATGAAAGAACAGCACCGAAGGAAGACGAAGTGGAAAGGTCTATACCATTCGTTATTAAGAACATAAAAGATATGAAAACTTATAAACATTATATTTATTCATTTATTTCAGAAAAAATGGAAGCAACCCATAAAACATCTTCTCATCATTTTATAGCTATTCATACATTCCTTTTCAAAGTTGTGAAATTAAATAAGACAGGAATTAGATTTAATGTATCAGGGTACGCATTCTTGAGTAAATTAAAATGTATTCGTCACGTCGCGGATGATAAAAATTTATGTGTTCTTAATTCATTTTATGGGCTTTAAAAAATAAAGTTTATTTTTATTTCTTTTTTAATTTTTTATTCTTACATAAATGAACAAAAACGGAACAGCTAAAATGAATGATAATCAAATAAGAGCCGAAGGTAGAAGGTTATTTAAACGCTTCTATAACATTCCTGATGGTGTTAATCCTAAAACTCGTAGAAGCTATTTAAATGAAGCAATAGATGCATATGAAGGTTTTGACATTTCATCAGAAAGTGAGAGATTAGCGAGAATGTTAAATGTTAATATTGATTTCTATTATTGTGATCCTCAACCAGAAGACGTGGACATAAATAAGGTAGACTTTCCATTAGTGGAATCAATAATGATAGATCCAGAATTTGAAACAGTAAATATTTTATTAACACAGAGTCCATGTGGAAAACTTCACGCTGACAGAATAACAGACGTTGAAGCACTCACCGGCTATAAAGTTTGTCCATATTGTAAAGAAGAAGTTTATTCTATCCGTGATGACCCAGAAAGGAAAAACCAAAGAAGATTTTTAAAGCAGTGTGAGAAATGTAAAGAAAATAATGGAAGATTAATTCAAGACGTTCAATTGCAAAAGACCCAGCAACCATATGCACCACATATTACGAAACAGAAGATATATCAGTGGTTATTAGCTCACAATTTGCAGGAATATTATCAACCGACAAGATATTATATTACTTTTGACTTCGAAACATTAGAGACTAAAGAAGAATTACAACTTTCTGAGTGTGCAACTTTGAACGCTTACTTAAAACCATTCATGGTATCATCAACGGTTAAATTAAATGATAAAACATATACGAGGAATTTTTGCTTAACTTCGAGTGATTCTTTTATTTCTGATTGGATTGAGTTTTTATTTTCAACCTGTTCATTAGTTGCTAAATCAAATATTGAACAATATGAAGAATTATTGAAGCCGCAAACGGTGGGGACTTTGTCTCATACATTAAATGAAAAACAGAAGGAAACATTTAAAGAACTTCTAGATGAGGAATTCAATAAAGTGAATATCATAGGTTTTAATTCGGGAAAGTTTGATTTAAATTTAATTCTTCGTGATTTAAACACTGCAAAATGGAAAATAAAATCAATGCTGGGTTCATCTTCACAATTTAAGCAAGTCATTGTAAAGAAAACAAACGTTCCATATGAATTAAGATTTATTGACATCAGAAATTATATAGCGGGTGGGACATTAGACCAATTCACTCAAGATTTCGGAAACAATAAATCACGTGTTAAATCCTTTTTCCCTTATCAATTCATCACGTGGGAAAATTACGAAGAAGAATTATATAAAGTGGAACCATTCACTCAAGATTCATTTTATTCAGCATTAACTCAAGAAACTATATCAGATAGTGATTATCAAATATATCTCAATGATGCTAAAAATTTTAAGAATAGATTAGAATATTTTATTCATTATTGCAATAAAGATGTTGAAATTATGATTGACCCAATCGATAAAATTATTGAAGAAACATTTGTTTATAAAATTGACACGCTTCATAATCTTTCTTTATCATCGAATGCTTCAATGATTCGTTACGCTTTAGCATATAAAGACTTTAATCCTAATGAAAAATATCCTGAGGAAGAGATAGAATCAAGTTTTGAATTAACGAAAAAGTATTGGAAATATA